TGGAGGGAGGGAAAACCAGGGTCAAGGGTGACAATGAATGATGTATCTCAAGAGTCGGCTACACCCAGGCAGTGCCGGCATGTTAACTCCCAATAAATCATTTTTAAGTTTTGGAAGCTTGGCTCGAGACTCATGATTTAATTGGGGGTAACTGCCGGAATCCTGACATAATATTTACTTTTTGCTGTAGCCAGTGAGTAAAACAGCTAATGCACAGCCAACTGTTCTGTTGTGTGAATCAGCTGTGCTCAAAAACAAGGAATTTTCCACTTAATGAGCATTTCCTCGACTTACGACCACAATGGAGGCCAGCCCTTCATGACTGCTTCGGTTGCTAAGTGAGACAGTTGTCCAGCAGCCTCCATTTTGCGAACTTCCTTGCCACCGTTGGTAAGGGGATCGCTGCAGTCGTTCGTTTCCACCTCAACGGCCCAGAGTCAGGTCGGCCGTCTTCTTTTGAACCCGTGCCTTATCTGCTCCCTTCCCCAGGAAGGCCACCTCTCGGAGATCCACGCGGTCACCTTCAGTCCAAACTCGGGCCTGCTGGCCACGGGTGGCACGGACAGGCTGATTAAGCTTTGGAGTGTGGCTGGAGGTAAGTGGGTGACCGAAGGCATCGCGTGTCTCTTCGGAACAGCAGGCGCCAATTCAGACACGGGTCAGGAACAAGCCAACGTAGGCAGAGCGGATGGAAGGGAATGTTTGTAGTTCAAGGTTGAACTGTGGGGTCCTTGGTGCTCTCTGAGCTTGGTGGTTTCCTTTGCAGACGTTTCATGACCCAGCTAGGCAACATTATCAGTGCTAGAAGGGAGGAGGGGGAGGACTGTGGGGTCCTTGGTGCCCTCTGAGCTTGGTGGTTTCCTTGCAGACGTTTCATGACCCAGCTAGGCAACATTATCAGTGCTAGAAGGGAGGAGGAGGAGGACTGTGCGGTCCTTGGTGCTCTCTGAGCTGGGTGGTTTCCTTGCAGACGTTTCATGACCCAGCTAGGCAACATTATCAGTGCTAGAAGGGAGGAGGAGGAGGACTGAGGGGCCCTTGGTGCTCTCTGAGCTTGGTGGTTTCCTTGCAGACGTTTCATGACCCAGCTAGGCAACATTATCAGTGCTAGAAGGGAGGAGGAGGACTGTGGACACCTCTGGCTTTGGAGCTCCCCTTCTGCCCTTTCTGGTTGTTTTCAGGCTGCCTGGAGAAGAAGGAAACCTTCGACGGATCCAGCGGCAGCATCACCAGCCTTGCCTTCGACCCCTTGGTGAGCACGCAGTCGGTTGGGTAGGAAAACTGGGCGAAGGAGAAGGAAGCTGAGTGCAGGTGGAGGGAGGAAAAAGAGAGAGACAGCAAGAGAGGAAGAAAAAAAGAAAGAACAAGACAGAAAGAGAGAGAGAGAGGGAGGGGAGAGGAAGGAATGAAGGAGGGAGGGAGGGAGGGAGGGAGGGAGG